AACGATCACGATAGTGGCATGGTGCATTATGTAATATAATATTATCATGCATCAGCTATTATACCTATATATAATATTATTTAATATGCAGTATTACCTATATGCTGTATAGCTATAAGACGCCTATATATATATATATACGCACTTCAGTAGGTAGAAGTATTGAATATACTCTAAGGGGGTTAAGGGGTGGGGGCATTCGCGAAGCGTCAACGGCCCGAAAGCGATGCATTGGTACACACTGCACACTCACACGCATACACACGGATAATATAAAGCAAAACTGGTATTAGAGTATAGGTGAGGAGAAATGAAATGAAAAAAGTCGTCGATTGTCTCTATGTACGAAATATGTGAGTATATATGCTATTAGTATATTGCCGAATACACACGCACACGCGGAGACGACGACGACGGAATCGGATTGACGTATGAAAGCGCCGGGCGGTCCCCAGATAACAATTGCCTTCATGTCATCGCCGCCCAGGAGTCGCGCGGGGGACCGTCCGCGCGATTTTTGTGTGCATATATGTTATTACTGCGCCAATGACTTCCGGTAGCCCCGACATCCGGCCCCAACGGATTTTCGTTGTTCTACATTAATACACACACACAGACACACATATAGGTACATATTATACACAACGCATCGGCGGCGGTGTTGGTCCACAAGAATAAACGACCGATTATAATTTATATTATTACGTTTAGTTCCTATATATTATTATGTATTATTTATACTGTAGTGGATAATTTATATATATATGATATATTATTCAACTAAGTGACGGTGGCCTGCAATTATCGACCGGACACGTTGTCGTCGTGGGAAACTGGAAAGGAAAATACGCGAATCTGTTCCCTTTAGTATTTACCACTATATAGTTATAGATATATATATATATATAAAACAAAATATAATGTATATCAATATAATATTGTGTTGTATCATAGGTATATTATTATTATTGTTGTGGTGGTATATACTTAGCCAATAGGTAGGTGCATATATTATATAATATGAGCTATTATTTAGAACAGCCTACTTATATTTAGTGGATATATTATGTATTAGGTATATACATTTTCGTGTGTGTCGGATATATATAGTTATACTTATATTATATACATAATAATTATGCTATGTGCAGAGAGTACAATAAGTTTTTTATGCATAAGGGATAAGGTATAAGAGGAATGTCAAAAAATATTATATTTATATTATATAGAAGGCCAGTGCCCAAATATATACCTTACATATAATCTATAGGTTATATATATAATAAATATAGTACACCCCCCACCCCCAAACACACACATATATGTATTATATATTTTAATATTTATATGATATAGGTATTATACAAGCATGCAACTATTTGATTATTCCCTTCTAGATATTATATAGGTACTGCAAATATATACATGTATTATATATTATATATATATATATAATCTATAAATAGAACATTGGACAATATAGGCTAATAAGTATATATAATTATTATCAATAATATTATGCGACATGCGTAAACGAGTTATTTTATTTTAATAAATTGTCTGTGTCGGGAATTATCCTAGAATAAATAAATTATTCTATACATAAGTACCTGCATAATAGGTTCTTTAAGAGGACGCCACACCCGCATGTGTTTTCTCCGTCTTACAAATGTACAACATAGCAAAAACTCTTTTGCGAGGGACAACTTTTCTCGCACCATATTTGTTGTAGAACTACCAAATTTTCACAGTACTTAAAGAAGAACTTTATCTGTGCAACAGCGTGCTCTTTTTTTCAATAGCACCATCCAATCATTTTTTATAAGCAAATTAAAAAACCAAATGTTTAGAAGCAAATAACTTGTATTGTATATATGTTATTGAAAAAAAGAGCACGCTGATGCACAGATAAAGTTCTTCTTTAAGTGCTGTGAAAATTTGGTAGTTCTACAACAAATATGGTGCGAGAAAAGTTGTCCCTCGCAAAAGAGTTTTTGCTATGTTGTACATTTGTAGGACGGAGACAACACATGCGGGTGTGGCGTCCTCTTAATACCGATTGGTAAATACTTAATACTATATATTATAATATCTTAGTGAAACATATTATGCGCACAACATTTGACTAAATGCTGTGAATTTGCATATGTAGGAGCTATATATAGTTAGACATAATATTTTTTAATACATCATCATGATATTATAGTGTTAGGTCGTATGCAATTTATTGACAGTAAATATCTATATATAATATATCATGAAAATTAAATTACCCAAGTTACACGTCTTCATATTACCTGTCTTATATACTTATATAGGTGATAATTATAAATGCGGTATTCGAAAACCTTGGACGCCAGCTATTAAACGGGTATATATACATAGCTAAATATAACTATAATCAAAATCGTAACTAGGGGTGAACAGGTCATTAGGTCCGGACCCCCAAAATGTTTAATAGTAGAAACATTCTGTTGAAGTAAATATATTGTTTATTGACTATTGAAGATATTAAAAATGATTTTATATTTTCGTAAAAGCGCATAAATAAAATCTGCAGTCATAAAGAAAATAAAAAAGTTTTTATATTTTGAATATATAATGATAATTGTGTCCAATATATAGGTATCTACAAAAAAAATAGTTCCCACCCTCGATATTGGCTTCTGCCTTTTGGTTACGGACTTGGACTTGGGTCATAGGCGTGCTCAGACCTCTGGGTCAGGTAAGGCTAAATTAAATCTGATCACCCACCCCCTTGTCATGGTCACACAAGAAAAAAATTAGACATTTTCACATTTGACTACAAACTTTTAAGTGACCCTTTGGTTGGTTACTGGAAAATGTAAGCAATCAATTTTCATTATTTCAAACATACAAAATTCATCCATATTGATTTAAATTTTAATCAAATATAATCCAATAAAACAATTTATTCAAAAACGTTCAATATATAATATATAATATTAAAAATTGTCAATTAACATTATTCATTTTAAATCAACTTTAGAGATATAAATATTAAAATTTAGTTGAGCTGAGTAGTGGACATACATTTTGGGGGGTAACCCCGTACCACTCAACTCGGCTCATCTAAACTTTAAATACTTATAACGCATAGACTACTCGCTCTAAATTAGATTTTTATGTATCGAAATACTTAGAAAAATATTCTACTTTGGCATATGAAATTCAAACTCTATGTTGTCAAAAAAATTAGAAGAATAAAAAATATTTTAAAATATAATTTTTTAATAACAAAGTTGTTTTGTAAGCGACTCAAAACTATGTAAAAAAATATTTTAAAAAACAATCACACTTTTTGAAATAATGAGTGTTTAATTTTAAATAAATCGCCCTGTTTAGTCTCTCGGGTAAACACAAACGTTTAAAATCTAAAAAGGCTATATACCTACTTTTAGTCATGTCTTCATAAGGTACCAACCCACCCACGTATAAAAAAGCTCAGGTAGGGCTAAAGCCCAATCAGCCCTACCCGTGCGCACGCCTATGACTTGGGTATATAATAGTAAAGCAGTTTAGCAGTAACTATACGTTTATACCAGTAAGCAGTATAATTGATGTTTATAAAACGGTGTTATAAATTATATAATGCGTTAACTTATTTTATATATTATAAGTATATGTGTGTACCTATATACTGTATATACTACTATACTAGTAGTTACCTAATACAAGAGTTAAATTTTATGTTTTGATAGACGACTTAAAAGTCGACCTATTGTTTTTGTATTTTGTGGTTGAAAATAGTATTCAAATCAAAGTATTACTGTTACATGCAGTTACAAAAGTTTTCACGACCATAAGAAAATATCCCTAGTATATATACTATATAGGTACCTATATTATGTATATTATATACCTACCTATATCGGGCTTTATACTTATATTATATATTTTATACCAATCTATTTAAATATATAATATACCCTTAATCTGCACTATATACAGTTAACAATTTGGTGTTCGTTTGATATAGTTATGGTACCTATATAGAAAAACTTTAAATGCATATTCAATAACATATGTTTGGTTTATACCACGTCTTTAAAGAATTATAGACGTAATTTTGTTCGAATTCGTTTTGAAGTCCCACGTAGATATAGTTATTGTTTTTTTATTTTCTGTTTCGTACACATTATGCGATTATTACATATAGGTACTATAATATATGTAAAGGCGGTTGTATATAATAAAACCACTTGTTAGATATTTCATTACATTTTCTGTGTTGGTGTATGGGTAAATGTATTATTTATATAACTATAATATTAATACTCATATGGCATATAACATATTAATATAATATACATACCAACCTGCAGAGTAGATACCTACTACCTATAGTATAATATTAACTAAATGTAGGTATTATATTATTAAATTGAAATATTGTGTAATATATTGGAAAAGGAAAAAGAGGAAACTTTTGAAAACCGGGTGTATAAAACCACCGACCTAAAGAACTCGATTATAACCTATTTGTATAATATTGAGTTGGTAATAATATATTTTACAATAAAGAGACTCGTATAACAAAATCGATGCCCGGCGCCCGCAATAATAAACGAAGAGCGAGGTAGGTAATTATAAAAACTCGAACAAGTCAACAAAAAAAAAAAAATCGTTTGCCCCAGTATATATAGGTAAACCTATAGGTAAACACTATACCCGTAATAATTTTAATATAATATAAATGATCGCATATACGCTGCGGGATCTTATATATATATAGTTCATATTTTGGGTAGGTACCTATATAATATTATATTAACTTATCAGATTGCAAAATTCAAAGAATAAAAAATAATATAATACATTATTAATTAAGAGCGAAAAAATGAAATCTCACTCGCGGCTTGTCGGCGCGGTGACGACACCCCCGTATAAACGGGACGGGCGAGTGGTCTGAGTCGGCGTGCGAAGGGATAAGGGCGGCCGCCGCCGTGGATGACCGCGCGCGTCGGCGATGAGTGACGATGAGCGCCGTTGATGAGCGGCGGCGGTGGCTACGACGTCGTCGAAGACCGCCACCGCGGCGGTGGTGGGGAATCGCCGATTGCAGCTGGCAGGGTGCCCGCCCCGCCCACAATCTCCGGAACCGGCTCCGCCCATCACTCGCTCACGCACACGCCGCATCGATGTGTGTGCACGGCGGCGGCGAACGTCCCGGCGCACCCAAAGGAAGCGCGTGCGTGCGCATCGTAGTACACCACCGCCGCCACCGCCGCCGAACCCATCCCACCCCGCCGCATCACCGTCTGCGCGAACCCCGGGGACAGCTTCGGCGTCGTCGATCTCGTGGCCCGGCAGTCAACAGTCCGATCGCGTCGATCCGGTTCGCGGTCTGGTGAACGCAGCGCTCATCATCCGTCGCTATCATCATTCGTCGTCGGTCGTCGTCGTATAGTCGTCACGGACGGTTGATCTGTTATACATAATAATATAATATTATTTTCTTTTAATCGTCGCGAATAATATTATACGACGGTATGTTTTTTGACGGCTCATCATAATTTTTATTTACTTACAACGATATTGTTATTATTTTTTCGTCACACCTGGTCTATTACATTTGTCGATAGATATATATTTATATTATATAAACGGTATAAGTCGAACACCGCGCATAATACGGTTTCGTACAATAATCGTTTATCTCCTATACGATTTTCCCGATTGTGCAACCCACTCACCGGCTATATTAGCGACAATACACACGTTCCGTGTGGGTTATTCGTCTTCGTATCGGACGGAGTCGTTTGTTTTTCTTTCGGAGTGACATCAAAAGTTTATCGGCAGCCTCTTGGAGCCAGCAGTCGTGTATGACTCGACGTCCCCCCGCCCCGTCCAGGCCGACATGAGCAGAGGTGAGTCTTTACTATAATAATATAATCTAAATATCAGTAACTCTATATAGATAATATATTTTATATATTATAATATCATATCATGCAAGTACATAGTATTTTTTAATTATTATCATTTTAATCGATCCTTGACCTTTACCTACGAGTTATATTATTTTTTGCTGCAAAGTTATATATAATATAATATAGGTAATATTATTTAAATATTACAAAGTATTGTAAGTACACCCACCATCAATATTATTCGATCGATACACCTATTGTAAGATGGGTAGGTACATGGATTTTTAACGTATTACTATATTATAATATTATACATGGTTGAAAAATTGCGGTAGGTACCTATATAGTATACGTGTACCTAATAATAATTAACTACTAAAATATGTCTATTAGAAATAAAGGCAAAAATATTAATACAATTTGTCTATATTTACAACAAAACACTAGGATTATATATATATAGGTGTCAATTGGTTTTACTAAATTGACATTTCACAAGGATTCAGTTCTTCTATATTATATACTTATCATTACTTGTTGATTTAATCATTGATTATTTTAATAGTTTTATATACAGACCTAATTACTGTTGTTATTTAATTAGTTATGTTAATACAATTTAATATAATATTATGCAGACCGCAGACGTAATAGCAAACGTTAAATTTAAAATGTAAATGTTAAAATTAAATATATTAGATGCTTATAAATTATAATATAATATATAATATAAATAGAACGTATCCTCGCATATCTATACGGTTATCACTTATGACTTATTAATATTGTTCTATCTAATTAAGTGAGTATTCGAAGCTCATATATTATCTATATGTTCGTTAGTGACACTCCGTGTAGAATGTTGATAATATGATATAATCTAATATTATATTTTAGGTTTTTTTCATATGACCTATCAATGTAAACTGAACATTTGTTCGGTCATTTCATACGAAGAATATTGTCTAAATAGACAATCATGTCATTGTACATGCAGCCCGTATATAGGCCGTCATCAGTTTGGGGATAGTATGTTATTATTGTATTGGACGGAATTACCGAATAACCACTAACCATATTATTCCCACACTATCGATAATAATGGTGCATACAAATAACAAAATAATAGTATAGTATTACTATTTAGGAATAGGTATTATCTATATTGATGATTTTACTAAGGTAATTTACTTTACCCAAAGAGGAACATTAACTTATGGATTCATTTGAACATACGATTTAAACGAATATTATTTAGTTTTCATATCTATATGATGTGCAGTCAAGTTGCCTGCATATATTGAATGCTTACTAACTGTCTAACTATGAAGTAAATACATGACTATAATATGTATACTATATATAGGTATATAGGTTATAGGTAACTAGGTATTGATGATTATTATGTTGATAAAAATATATTTATATACATAAGCCAAATATCCCTCATTCGCTCATTCATCGCTATATCTCAAAAACCACAAAACTTGAAATTTGGAATAGTGGTTTCTCTAAAGATCTAGAAGTGCAATAAGAAAGGATTTTCTGATATATTTGCATTTCAAAGACGTGATAAAACAGGGATCTTGAAATTTGTTTGTATATAAATGGTGGCCGTTGGTTACTCCGGGAGATCATGAGATCATGGTACATATGTATAATATTATCACGCTTATGGCCCCGAATAAAGAATGTAAGTATACCTATTAAAACCAAATGTATATGTGTAGCGCCACTATAGCTTATACACTAAACAACTACTCAATTGAATTTGACGAAAACCTTGAAGATTGTTTTTAGATATGTCAGAAAAGTTGAGAGAGTAAGTAGTTTAAACCAAGTTAAAAATATACCAAGTGCTAAATCAAATCATCTGCGACTTACTGTTGCCTAAATAGGTCTTATTATTTTTTTACAAATCAATAAATAGCTTATAATAGCTTATAAGGTACATCACTGACGCTGATTTTTCTGTTAGCTGATATACACTATAACTGAGATTCGCTCAAACCGATGTACACCAGAATTGGCGTATATTATACCATTTATAGGATTTACCACAAAAAAAATTAAATATGGACCATATAGATATGTGCAAAAATATTTATTTAAGATATCCACAAAAAAACTATAGATTATTTGATCGATGTGGTCATACACGAATTTGTTATTGTCTTCTTTACATAGGTACTCACAAAGACTACATTTTACATTCATAATAATACATTTTATTATTCTTTTGTTTTAGTACTAATGAATTGATACACCATGAATTGATCCCGATATTTACTATCATATTTAAAGTTGAGGATATTAATTATAGGGCCTTCCGTAGGTTTTTTTTGATATTTTATTTTAAGTTAGTATGATTATTTTAAAATTGTATTTATTTTGTAAATATTGTATTTAAAACAAAAGTTTCTTCAAATTATTTATATAATACCTATAGTATATTGAATTATAAAGTATTAAATATACCAAAATATCCAATGTATTTATATTATTGACACTCGTCGTGTGAAAAATGTCTTCTAAATAATATATAGTTGGATCAAATTTTTCGTTAAACCGTATAAATAACGCGTGTACATGCGTGATACATATATTGTAGTAAAAAAAAATATATAATGCTTGACAATTTTTTTCATTGCTTACTTATATTTTTGGGGAGTATAATATCTATACACCGTGAAACCTCGATACACGTATGTCTCAATAATATAATAGTCCCCTCACGCTTGCGATTTATATATACGATTGCGAAGGTTCTTATAGACTGAACAGGTTTCCATGAGACAATTTCACGTACGTACACGCTACCACAAATATAGTCCCCTCGTGCGTAACGGACGCGGACCGTAAAAATCCGTCAAAATATTGAAAACACCAATTCACGGGAGACTATAGCAAAATATAAAAATCAACACTTTAAAAATAATTACCCCACGTAATAGCAACGGGGGAGCAAAGTTCAAACGAGCACTTTAAAAACGTCAAAACTTCATTATAATATCATCGCAATGCGCTGCGTTTCAATTTAAAATAAATAATGATGCACTTTTGGTTCGACAACCGATTTCCTTGTCTATATAGTATCACTGATTTTATAATAAACTATGTTATGAAATCAATATTATTATATTCAATACTATACATTATTATCTATATAATTGCTTTCGCACACGGTTTGATGATTTCTCATTGATAACACTCTAAATAAGCGTTTTAATTAAATGTCATCCCAATCTTTAATTTATAATTATTAATCCAGATATTAACAATAGCTGTTGTTTCCACACATAATATATAATTTATATACAATTATTATATATACTGTATATTGCGTTACAAAATAAATATGATACGGCCGTTGTCGTTTTCGTCGATTAATGCCTATATAAATTATATTATGTATAATTATATACCATATTAGATAATAGATAGGTACCTGCTATGTCGCATCATGTGTATTGTATTGTATATTAATAAACGTTAAAATATACACATTATGCTAGTCGTGTTTGCGTTATGTGTTTCCGAAATATTTAGATTTTAGATCGTCGATAATAATTAATAAGACGTGCGTAAAGATTTAATGCATTGCAAAATTGCACGTGTTTATATCGCTATTTGACAAAAATAATATTGCTAGTTTTGCGTGTTGAAGTATATTATATTATAACACGCTCTTGATATTATAGTGGGCTGACGAATTGGCACATAGAGTTAGAAATCAATAATCGTTATAATATTATTATATTATACTACTTATTTAATATTTATTATTTTTACTATCATTAATATTATTATTACGTGAATACTTTACCGGTGATCAAAGGAATAATAATAGGTAAATTTCCTCATATCGGTTCGATTACTTAGAAATAACCACGATAACGTTTGTACGATCGATTACTACATATATGTTTTTTCCAAAGTATTTCCATTCATCGTGTTACTTGGTTCCCATTGAACACTCGTTTCGCGTACAGCTATTATCCATGAACGTATATATAATATAATATAATAACAATATAATATTACCGCATGACCGTACATTAAACGAGCGAAAACGCCATTAACGAGCCTGACTTTTTATTATTATACGCTAACCTAGTTGTCGTTACGATAATAATCACTGTAATTATATAGTTATCGGGACAATGCAATATTTATGTGTACTTTTTGTATGTATATATTATATTATGCGTTTGGATACGATTTACGTAGCGTGTTCAGCATCTTTAAGTTCGCGGTAATGTTGTGATTCTGTTGATCCGATAAATATAAACAATTTTGATAACTCATATCGTAATTTAGTCATCGAATGCGTCACACGATTTATTACAATCGAGTTAAAGAAATAACCAACGCTGTTTTACACACCGCTATTTGTAAGGGTTCGTAGTTATTATTTCTAAACTTCCATACCTTTTATCCAATATTTTATTTGTTTATTTGTAATTATAAGTGATTCATAATATGTGTATATAGACTAATGTTTATTTATTTAATTTAATTCCATATGCATATGAATAGAAAACTCGTGTGGGGGCCCAGGAGTTCTAAAACAAATTATATAAAAAATAACACTTCTATTTTGTATGCATGATTAAAATTAAAATATTTTACATTGATTAAAGTAAATGAATACAATATTATTAATTAATCAGAAGATTCCAATAACCATTGGAAAATGTTTTTTTTTTTGAATAAACTAAATAGTACCTAAGTTTATTATAGAAGATGGTATTTTGTTAAATATTTTGGTTCCAATTATTTAAAAAAATCTACCAGATGTGTTTTTTTAGATCTATTTATGATAAAATTGTTTTTGCTGTGCATACTCCATGCAATATTGTTTGTAATAAATTGTAATATTTGAATAATTAGAAAAAAATACTGACAATATTAACTATTACTATAATTTTCTCTACCATTTTATTTTATATTTTCTTGACACTTCGTAAGTAGGTATACGTAATCGTGTATCATATCTACTTATAAACGTTTGACGAAAAACACTTAACTTATTATTATTAGTGCAGTATTTATTTTTTGTTTTGACTGGACCTCGAAGCCGCCGAGTGCTCGGGTAGTGATAAGAAAGAAATCCTACACGATTAGGCATGGGACAGACGGTGTTTGCCTCTTTTAATCTCGACTGGTGTCCAAACATCATGTCTCCTAGGGGATTTGGCTGTAAAAAAAAAATGAAAATAAAAACAAAACAATATCCCTTACTTCGACCTTGTGGCACAATCTTTGAAACCGCAAAAGAGTGTTATTAAACAATGTCGTCAACGAGCTGTTGATCCCAGGGCAATAAATCGGCGCGGGGACGATTTGTACAAATATTTGTTCTGTCGACCTTGAATGTGCTATACAGAAACCCCAAGATAGAGATTGCCTGTCTTATTTTATGATGTCTTGTATGACGTCAAGACCCGTGACTATGAGCTGCATGTGCCCAACAGTCAACTGTGTATTGCGCCCAAAGTCAAAACGATTATAAGCATATTATAGTAATACATAATATATATATAATATATAATATTTTAATATGCGTATAATAATATGATGCAGATGTTTTAACTACAGAAGCATTGTTTTGTATATCATTTTCTCAAAATTATATAGGTACCCATTTCGTTATTAAAAAGTTTCCCTTACATGACCTTTAGCAATTATCGTTATATTTTGCTCGTTACAAAATAAAATAATATTGCATTATAATATATTGTATACATTACATTATATTCACCTTCACGTTTTTATACACACTACCAGCTATAATGCGTCCCTCGATATTTGTCACGTGCATACTATGAAATTCAACGGCTTTCATATGTATACGTCACAAACATTGTTGTACGCGTTTATAAAGTCGGATAGTGTGTGTATATAGAAACGTGTTTGGAAGTAATTATTGTAAATTTTTTTCGTAAAAACTCCCTCAAATGCTCTTTATATAAACCGGGTATATGAATTAAGTTGTAATTATATTATACATATATTATATAAATATTAAAACATAATGTGGTTTGTATGTCAGGTTTATGGATGTAATATTTTTTTTAATCATTCGAAAATTATATGTTTTAAAGCTCCTTCGTAAAAACACGCATATTTCTTGAGAATATACCTACTTTAATCGAATCCATTAAAATATCGGTTAACGCAGAGTTCGCCAACGGTTAATGTAAAATTTCGTAAATTCACGGAATTTTCCAGAAATACAATACGCGCAAATGCATTAAATAATAAATATATTATATTAATAGGTAGGTACACTATTTGATCGATAAATCTATTTATATGACCACGATGTTTACTGTTTTGATATTTGATCTGTCACGGTATCAGCGTTATTTAATATGTAAAACGAGGGTAAATAATTTTATACAATAATATGTATAGGTATATATTATTATACTATTACTGACGACTGTAGTTAGTGATTGCATTTATAAAACTTGTTGATAGGTAGGTACGTGATAATTTTGTTGAAAAATATTCTTAAAAATCAAAAATACATATCGAGAAAAACTGGTATTAAATTATGTGTAAGTGTATGTTTATCTGAGGAGATTTTAACGACTTTTTTCACGTTTTCTCAGGCAGTAGCGACGATGGAGGTGGCGGCGGTGGCGACACGGACGCCGGCAGGAGCGACGACGAGCGTTCGTTGTCAAGTGACAGTAGTGGCGGTGGCGGCGGCGTCGTCGTCGTCGGAGACGGTTGCCGGAGCCGGAGCAACAGCGCCAACAGCAACAACAACAACGGGAAAAAAGACACGATTGCGGCTGTCGACGAGGTCGGTGGCGTCATCGGCGCGGGTTTGAACAACAGTTTCAACTTTTTCGAGCTACCGGCCAACGCGGCCGCCATGCCGTACAACTTGGAGTTGCGGAACGCTGGCGCGAGTGGAGTGTGGACCAAGACCCAGCTCCCCAAAGGTGTCAAGTACGGACCTTTCCTGGGCAAATGGGGCCCGAAGCCGGTGGACTCGCGGTTCGCCTGGGAGGTGAGTGACGTGCAAACTACATAAATAACAATATATTATATAGGAAAAAAAATCGTTTCAGCCCGTCGTTGGTTCCGAACCTATATTATTATATACGTAATTTTTGTCCCCCTTTTTATTTTTCATCTTCTTATCCTCCTCTTGCGCTCGCGCCAGTCTAAACCTATGGGTATGTATATAGGTAAATAACAGTAAACACCGCCGTCGAGCGGGACGAGAGTGAATGTATGTGTATGTGTATGTGTATAATATTATATATATAACTGTAACATCGCTATAAATATTGTGAAAAAAAATGTGCTAGATCTCGGAAACGCACGCCGCCAACGGAAACTATCGCCGCGGTGCGGGTACGCACAAAAGGTGTGAAGCTACAAAAAAGAAACGTCACACTCTGACAGTTGTCGGAGGGACGAATCCGACGGATATAATATAATGTCGCTGAGGTGTCGGATGACCCCGCAGGGGATCTCCGCGAGATTAGCTTCACATCACACTCTCACACACACATCTACTCACAACCGATACAATTATATATATATACGCGATAATATGTGTGTACGCGTATAATAAGATACGTGCGAACACCTCACCGAAATCACTATATATATGTATGTATATAATATTAGCCGCATATAGGCCGCCCCCGTTTGCAGTTCACCCCGACTCGGTGATCGCTCGCGCCCGAGTAAAAGAGAGAGTTTAAGTATAAAACCTCCGATTGTTGTCGGTTCGATCCCTTTTCAATAGTATACGCGGCTACTGGCTGCGTTTTACCGCTGGCTACAGCGGACTGTTTGCCGCGCAGGTTTATAGGTATATACCTATAGTATTCACGCAAAACAATAGATAAAGTATTACCAACTATATATTTAGGAATGTTTGGACGAGTCCCCTAAATATTATTATTTATTACCGGTCGACGTTCGTATTTGGTTGATATTATATTATGATGTGCAACATCGTATAGGTTGTACGATATTGTATTATTATGCAATATCTTCCCTTCGCCTAACCTTCAAAACAACAACTTAAATCCGTCTATAATTAGTGTTGTTTTATTTTCGAGCTTATTCAAACCAAAAGCATTGGTAATGTCCAAAATCATATTTTGTCATCATTATTACGGTTCAAAAATCGAAATATGTTGTTGGCAGGGTGCAAACTCAGTATACGAGACACCCCGCACAGATTATTATAATATGTACAAACGATGTATACACGATATAATGTATTGTCATTGTGCAGATTTTCGACGGGCAAACTCGTCTCGTTTTTGGTTCATTAAAATTTGTCCGCCCGGTCAACTGGAAAATTCGCCGGCACCTATATATTCGTCGGTGGCGTGTATGAGTGCAGCGCTTATACATGATATTATATTATCACCAACGCCGCGCATTGAGCCGCGCGTATAATGTGCGTACGCTGTATACATTATAATATGCCGCTGGTAGTAGGTATCTATCCATTTTTGTACAATATATACATATTATACGGACACGCACACACACAATCCGACCGCCTAATGTCCGCGAACCCATTGTCCCCACGGCCGAGGTGTGAACTGATCGAATTTTATGGTCGGTATCATCTGCCCCCGGCGGGCGGTCCGGGTTTACAGTGTGCAGTCCGCGACGAGGACGACTACTGCGACTATATTATATCGTATACATATATATAATACGTTCTATAGGCGGGCACACATATACGCTTATTATATTCTGCCCGGACGCGCATCCATAATAATAATATAATATTATATATTATGGTGAAATCCCCGCGATAATCTATGTTATTATGCTGCAGTGTACGCGCGGATGCAGGAATGTCGAGAGATAATTTCTTGACGCGATTTTCGGCGTACCTCCATGGGCATATGGGTTGTTCCGAGGTATGCTCACACTGCTGCAGTATACATAACACAATATTATATATGTACACATACACACACACACACACACACACTGAACGTAGACATTCTCATACAATCGCACCTGTTTATACACGCGCATGCATATACATACGACAACGGCGTGTATAAAGACGACGAGACGCTAAACGCCGATCCGGAGAGTACCTACCCGAGTATTCCTTTCCACCAGACCGCCGTTCAACCACCCCCACCCCCTCTCCCACCCAAACTACCGAGATACGACGGCTCTCGTGGATAACGACAGTTCTACAATAATAATAACGAGTGCCGTATACCTGGTTACGGGTACGTTAATATCATACATTTCACCGTCCCTTTGAATACCCGACGTGTACCGCACGGTCGACGACGCTAAGTAGAATGCCGAAAACGCGTTGTTATCGCGTCACGCGCACGAACGCCGATCTTACGCACGCTCGCTTGGTTGCTTATTCGACTTCACAGGTATAAATGGTTAGTTAACCGTAGACAGGTCGTTTAGGTGCATATTATGTGTTGTATTGTATAATAATATACAAGTTAGATACAGACAACCGCGCTCGTTTATCGCTAAATCGAGTGTCGCGCGGACAACCAAACACGGTTCGACAAAATATGACAATGCACTCTTCGTATATTATTATATTACTATAATATTATAGTCTTTCATACTTTTTCGTTATTAACGCTTACCAATTTATTACATTACAAAATCATATTTTAAGAGCGCATCTAACTGTAAGTACTTATACGATACGAGTGCGTCATGTAATAATGTTGCACATTTAGAAATGTGTATAGAACTATAAAAACCAATAGGTCGTGTAGGTAACTGTGTAAGAGTGACGAGTGTATTTACACCCTTCGATATTCAAGTGCTTTGTATACAATTAAATATTAATCATTATTCATTGATACTTATACATTTATCATTTGTTACATTTTTATTTTTTACTCCTGTTGATAGTCTCGAATCTCGATGAGTATAGTCGGTGTTTTTTCTCCTACCTCGTGCTGTCAATATTATTTCACATCGTTCGTTTCGAAGTGGTACACTCGTTTGCACGCGAAAACTGACGAGCACATAATATTACATTATTGTATGCTATTTTCGTTTCACACTCTTCGGGGTGCATGGTTCCGAATAAACGTATTTTTAGATCAAATGTTCATAAATACCACAGCTCAAATGTATTTATAATATTTATCTGACAATAATTATTAATATTATATTATTATACCGTGAAGTGAGTCGAGTTTATCGAGAAATGAAACATTGTGTTCTAACTCGTATAGGTATTACCGAGACATAAGTGTGCGCATACTGCAGAGTTGTATGTCTTCCGTGTGATTGGCAGCGGGAAAGGAAACCCATTTTCGATTAATTTTCCAGACAAAGACGTGAGCGCGATGACGGCGTCGGTTCTATAAACTCAATTCAAAATGTGTTTGTTTTTCCATGCTTAGGTACAATATTATATGTACAACGATGATGACGACGTCGTAGCAGCAGCAGGACTTAAGGTCGGCGGGTAGGGGGGTGGATATGTGTGTGCGCGCGCGCATTACGCACACAGCAATAATGGTTTTTCATCAATCAAAGTATATAGTATAATATTATACACGGCGGCTGATATTGCCTCAGCGTCATCTGTTATCAGCATTCACACATCTGTAAAAACCATTCGGAGCGTGATGATATCCACGAGCCCGGAATGATTTCGTGAAAAATCGGCGTGTATATATATTATATATATATTATGTTATATGTATGTGTGTATACGCGTTATTTATTAAAATCTCGAGGGTTTTTACCATTTGTGGAGGCGACGTGGCACCATTCATCTCAATCATTTCCGCGGAGGAATTCGCGCGCGCGGAGGCTGTTGCGCCGTTGCTGATTTGTCAGTTAAACGTAACGGAAAACACTCGCGGCGGCGGCGGTAACGTCGATTTGGCTCACGTTTTTCTCCTCTCCCGCCGAATGCTTTCGTCTACCCCACCATCATCCACTGCCTCCACCCCCTCTCCTAGTCACTAGAAGAAAATATTGTTTTAATAATACCCAATCTGTGCGTGCGAATATCCCGACGATAGTCCCTGCAGTATATAGTATAGTATAGCTCCACGAGTCATAATATACGACTTTTTTCAGACTCTGCGATCGATAACTACCCTCAGCAGAGCAAATCAGATATTAATATATACCTTATACCTATTCTGAAATATTGAAAACCCGGAAAGATTTTAGGATGTAATTTGCATCTATATAATAAATCGAAATCGGCGAACAAACGATTTCGGTCCGAACGAAAAATATTTGTTGTTTGATGTTTTTGACGATGATTTTTCGTTTTGGCCTTTTGGCATTTCTTGTGTGTGCCTGCTTTACTTTCTCTGTTATTATTTTTACTATACACTTTAACCGTTAGACGATTTATATAATATAATGGATATGGGAAAAATTCGAGAGAAACGTTGACTGCAGGCTGTTTGAAACTGACCGCAAGTACATAAAATAATATCGTGTTTTCCCCGTGCAAGTTGAGGTCGGTATATATAACCACGCCTTCGTAACCGCACACGAAACGAAAGATCCGGGGCCAGCGTTTGGCTAATTGGACAAGACCCGCCAACCAAGCTCCGCCTTTTCAAACTTCACCGGAGCGGAAAAACGATTCGTTTTCCGTCTCGAGTGGTCTCGGAGAAGAGAGCAGAAGTCGGGTTTTTTTTTGTTTGTTTATTTGCTCGTGGCCTGACGACCGGAAAAATAGTTCAAGCTGACGAGCGGAGAGAGAGCAAGAAATTCGGGGTTGGTTGATAATTCGAGTGTCTCATATACCGTGTGCAGTGGACCCCCCAATCAGAGTCCTTATTATGTATTTTATTTTTTTTTGCATAATAAATTGCGAACGTATAAAATATACCTATACAATATACATAAAATATTTTATACCTTCTAAGAAAACAGGTAAAAACCGTCGTCGTCGTATTCAAATTATTATATTTATAATTTTTTCCCCGACCGTATTCGTGAACTGCAGATGTATTGAAATTGTATGCAAAACGTCAAGTGTTCACTAAACCGTGACTTTGTGCCAAATCAAAAAAATGAAAAAAGACGTTGAACTGTCAAGATTTTTATGAGGGGTGGTTTTTTTTTATTTTTCGATCTCAAATAGCCGTTTCGCGCACGGACCGTTATCTGTACTTAACATTATGATATAACTTATAAGATTATTCGTTCCCCTCCCGGACGAATGAGACTGAAAAAAAAATAACACAGTAGGTACGTGTTTATCATGTTGCCAATTATACAAGAGAAGGGCTGAAAGACAAAAGAGAGGGAATTACATATTATATTATACATTGTGTCCCGATCCTAAACAACTATATAATATGTGTGCAGCACGTGACACCCTCGGGCCGATGTACAAATTAAACTCCACTTTTCCATTTATTATTTACGATCGAACGTCGTCTTCAGAATATTGCGAGTGTTTTTCTTTTTTTTTTTGTTCTTCGAAAAACTTTCGTTTTTTTTTATTAATTCCCTCGACAGTACGATATTTGCGCACCGCACGCGCTGTATTGAAACTACTGTGATGTAATACAATAGGATATGCCTAAAAAAGTTTATAGTAAGGAACGCTTAGTATAATAATAATAATGTTACTATGTTAGCGATTGTTGTCGTAACCGACCTCGTCACCCTCAGTAGGCATATTAGACGTATTAAACTGTTTAGCAGGGAAACGACTCCTAAGATTGTATACATATGCGGTACAGTAATAATTATTGACAATGACGATGTTATAATTGGTACTTGATATATGTAATTGGCGTATATTCGATAAAAATAATCATTTATATCCAACGATGAACTTTATGCCGTCGACGGTAAATGGCATAGAAATCGTCCGAGAAACTTTGATCGCGTACATAAAAATAAATTAAAAATCATAAACATATTATGTTATATTATAATGTAGGATAGCTGGGCATTGTTTCGATGTACGTCTTTTGTCGGCATTAAGTTTTTGTTAAGAAAACCTGCAACAGTTTACCGGAGTTTGATTTATTACGGGGTCCCCGTCGATTTTCCGCCCTTCGCACGCACGTTCTCGGAATTATTTAATTTCCCGCATCATTGACACATGTTGTCTGATGCCGTTTTGTGCAGCGTTAGTGTGTGTGTGTGTGTTGTGGAAGAAGGGTCGTCGGCAGCAGATAGGAAGAGGGTCGGGTTGTGCTCCGTATCTATCTCTCTCCCTCTCTCTCTCACACACACACTCTCTCTCACTCTGTACATGCTTACTATATACAGTATATACACGTATAATAATATACGCGTGAATCGCAGTCACTATGTATATATATTGTAATATCAGACAAGGGTTGGGCTCGCGCGCGCGTCAATCCCTCGCACACGCGTTATCTCTTTCCCCGCGTGTTATTGTTTGTCGGGATACGGTCCCGTGAACGTCGAGGGCCATTAACGTCCGCGTCCTATAATATAATAATATATTATATACAATTATCGTTTAAAACATTATTACCGTCGTGTGTACAATGACGATAGGATAATACGCGAGTACACATAATATAATTTTGATAATATAATATTGGCGATTCCAAACGAAGTAGCTGCCCTCTGATGGCAAAGATAAGAACCTCTGAAATGTAGGTACTGTATACAGCGTCAAGTGTATTATTGTTCTATACTTCTATATGGTAGTATAGAAGTCAGTGTTTGTTGAATATTGACTGTTTATTGGCAATTTTTTCCCATTTGGCATTTAAGTATTAAACTCTACCTGCTACCAGTTGCCAGTGAGGAAAATTAAGATATGGCTGATCACAATTATGTTTCAATAAACGAATGTGCAAAGAAATATTGTAAGCGATATTGTTGCACTCCACAATGCAAAAATAAACAAATGTAAGTCTACCTAATTTTAGCATAATATTTATTATATGTATTCTTGTCTTTCAAACTTGATACTGAGTGTATTTAATTTGGAGTATTATATTCGAAAGCTAGTGCTTAGTGCTAGGTAATAGAATAAGTGTTAGTTAGTTGTACTGCAGATATTATACCTACTTAAAAATATATTATATTCATATTTAGTAATTATTTTTACTACCATTTACCAGGTCTACGTCATCTATAACATTCCATTCCTTCCCTAAACAAAAAGATTTGAAATTAAAATGGAAGACTGCTCTAAAAATTGGAAAAGAAGTGCCAAAATATGCTTTTGTCTGTTCTACACATTTTGATGACAGTGATTTTATTCCAAGCTCAAAAAGTAAGGAATAAAGATTAATAATAAATAATATAACAATCAAAAATGCATTTTTTTATGATAAGTATATACCATGTACCTATAGCAAGTTCACCAGCAAAAATAAGAAGACTGAAGATTGGTGTAGTACCTTCAAAAAATTTACCTGTTCGGTCACTGGACAAAGTGCTTTTAACTCCAACAAAAGAAAAAATCATTAAGAGAGCTGAGAGATTGAACAAACGCGTCGTCAAATAAGAACATTGTCAATTTTATTTCAAAATGACTGGTAAGATAAATTCAACAACTACTAAATAATTGGTTTGAATAAATTCTATTAATTTTTTGATTTGTTTTTTCAGTTTTCCAGATACTACACATAGTACTGATGTGAAGAATTATCTTCATCTTCTACACAACGGATGTCTTGACCAAAGAAAAAACTACAGTATTATCAAATGAAATTAAAACTGTCGATAAAGAAGTCCAAGTTAATACATTTCATTCCGATTCTCTTTCAAGAAGAAGTATTATGGATTTGATAAGAAATGATGAAGATTTAGTTTGCACTAACAGGGTACCCAGCATGGACAAGTGTTAAACTTGTCAGTATTGGTGAATTTGTGATAAAAAGTTTAAATTATAATATCAATTTTTCTCTTGATATTCTTCAAAGAATAGTGTTAGTATTAATGAAGTTAAAACTAAATACATCTTACAAATCTTGCAGTTTTGTTTGGTGTTTGTAAAAGTACTTGTACAAATTATTTTTACGAACCAATTGATTGTTATATTTAATTTTAAAACCTTTAGTTTTGTGGCCTTCTAAATCAAGTATTTCTAAAAATATTCCTAAATGTTTCATAAATTTCACAAGTACTAGGGTCGTAGTTGATGGAACAGAAACTCCTATTGAAGTTCCAAAATGTTTGTCATGTCGAATTAGAACTTATTCTTTTTATAAAGGTAAACATACTATTAAATTTATGGTAGGCATTTCTCCAGATGGCCTAATAACCTTTGTTAGTAATGTGTATGGTGGCAAGCATCTGACAAACATATTTGTAGAAAAATAATATTTTAGAAAAATGTGATATAGGTGATGGTGTTATGGCTGATAAGGTTCCTTATTGAAGAGGAATGTTCTAGGGCAGGTGTTAAATTATTTCGTCCCCCTTTTTTGAAAAAAAATAAACAACTATCTTTTGAAGACGGTACTATGAACACAGATATAGCTAGAGCCAGAGTTCATATAGAACGAGCTATTCAAAGATTGAAAATATTTCATGTTTTAAAAAATAATATGCCCTGGAAATATTTATGTAAAATTGACAAGATTGTGTACATTATATGTGGAATAGTTAATATTTCCCAACCAATAATTGGAATAACTGGATTTTGAAAACAAATATTTATATATATGAGACAAAGCTAACTATGAGTTTATTTTAATTCAAATTCAAATTTTACATTGTATACATTTACACTCTATTAATTATCTGTATTAAAATGTACTTTCTTACAAATATATATAATTATAATTAACATATTGTCTATGGTAACACAAATTATTTGGTAAAAGTTCAAAATTAGTATTAAATAGGAAAAAACAGTACCTAATTCATATTTTATCAACCGATCTTGGTGTCTAACTAAAAAGGTAATAATGATTAAAATAAACGCAAATTAATGTTTGATACATATTTGTGCAATACTCGTAGTCAAACTCAATTTCAATTTGTAAAACTGAATCGTTTATTTGTTCATATAAAATTAGGATACCCGTAAATAAATTACATAATAATAAGCCTAACTGAATTTGGGCGTAGTACTGGTGGTTTTTTTTAAGCTTTATTTTTCCTGTAACTTCATCAAATAAGATGTATTTTAACGTTTTATTAAGTCTATTCCTGATTTTGATTTTCCCCCAACTGGACATTTAATTTCTATTAAACACAACTTGTCACCACATTGATAAAAACCATCAGGGCTAAACCCAAGCCACGGACAGCGATGATTAATAATAAAACCAAAGGTTTTGATTTGAAATCCCGTAAGTCTTTCAAATGCTTTCTTAGCTTTGTCCTCATAATTTTTTCCAAATTTAGTCGCCAAATTTCCAGAAAAGGTGGGAAATACAATCCTTTCAAGTTTATTAAGCCAAGCTTCAGCAATAACACCATTTTTTCCATGGTAAAATGTATACAATGCATAAGCAGATGTACCTGTTATCCTTAATTGACGAACCTTTAACCACAAATTACTATTTTGTGATAAAGTATCAACAATTATTTTTAATGATTCATCTTTTCCAACATTAACAACTGAATTGTAAAATTCAATAGCATATTTTGAGCAATTTTCTTTGGATTGATCTACAATATTAACTTCATTTATAATTTCCTGACAAGTGAACAATAGCTTTTTCACAAAATCAATATCACAACAACGGGTTTCAACTGTACGAGGCTCATGACGACCTTTCATATGTATAGAAATTGCAGAATCAGGAAAGTCTACAATAAAAGATAAGGTTTTTAAATTTAGTATCATGAATTAAAATATATCTAAGGGCCATTCTTACAATGTCCAGTTATTGGTTATTGTCTGATAAAGCTAACCAGTAGAATTTCTTATGTGTTAACCGATAGAAGTCTACCGGTTAGTCTTAACCGACACTTAACTGGACAATGTAAGAACAATCCTTAGAGTAAATTATTAAACCATTAATCATTTATTTAAAGTACCAAAGGCAAATATTACAGTGGTAAATACAGTAGGTAATAAAATAATAGACAATACTTAAATACTAGTACTAAACACAGCAATAAAATAATAATCCATACAATTACATGGTTTAAATCTTCCCTTAGTGACAGAACTCAATGTATTAAATTAGGTCCCAATATATCTCAGGGCTGCAACTCAAATAATGAAATAAAAAAGTGAGAAAAGTGATTAATTTTTTGTTCAATACTGAAAAAATATAAAATATATTGTAGTAATGTTTAATTTCCAAGAATGTTTGATGTGATTTTGTGGTCCCACAATATTATAATCGATAAAATTAAAACACAAACATTGTGAAGGATACAATAAAATAAATTCTATTTAGTTTTATTAAGCTAGCTATATTATTTATTTTGAGTATGCAAGGAGAAAAAAAGTGTAGGTTAGGTTCGGTTAGGTATTTTCTTATAAAGGTGATTTATACCCTACAGTTATTTACCAAGTGTAAATACCTTTGTACAATGGTATCCACAATATAAAATAAATATATTTAAAGTACCTACACATAGTTATGTGGCATGGTAATGATCTGAAGGCCTGCAAACATTTGGGCACCAAAAAAAAAATTTTAAATAATGCCCCTGATTTTCATTGGGTATCGTCACGTCCGTGGCCCATGGGTATCGGTGTTTAATCATAGATTATATATATCTAATCAGTTTAATTACTTCCTAATGATTATTTAAAATATGAGAGACCATTACGCCGCACCATTATCAAAGATTTTAATCACGGATGTATCACGACTATTATAATGGTACAATACAATATATTAATATATTATATACGAATATTGTTAGGGTAAAATTAAACTAACAGAATTTTAAAAATTACATGATTAAAATTATTTTTGGGGTCTTTTGTGAAACATTATAATAAATGGCTATAAGTGAGAAAAGTGACAGTTTTCGAAATATAGTGACAAAAAGTGACAGAGTTGCAGCCCTGATATCTGATAAGTTTAAGATGGTCTTTAGGTAGTAGTAAATACTTAAAATTCCAAAAATCAGAATTTGATTATAAGCATAATTGAAATATAAAAAAATAGGGGTGAACATACTTAAAAAATCACAATAATAATCACTCCTAATAATTCAGTGCAACCTATTTTATTAACATAAGATCATAGATAAAAAAAAAATATAAAACATTTTTCTTCTCAATAATAAAGGACTAATAACTACCTACTTTTAATAAATAAAGAATTATTTAAAAAATTGTCAGAATAAATTTAAACAAATATTGCAGATACAAACATTTACTGTGACTAAAGAGAATTACTTACCTAATTAAAAATAATAAAACAGTAGTGTCCGGTTACACAAAACATTTAATGAATCAATAGTGAGCTAAAGGTTCCTTAAATACGATTTAGTGGCCTACTATTGGTCCATTAAATTTATAAATTGTTTATGCAACCCAGCATTAGATGATAAATGACCCCCTTGAGGTATATCCAAATGAATCTTAAAACTTATCAGATATATTGGGATCTAATTCAATACCTTCAATTAAAGTTTCATATACAATTTTCTCAATATTATTTGGTAATACATCTGGCAGAGTTTCTGAATATGGAGAAATATACTTTTCGACATGACAAAATTTTTTTACTGGGATTGTTTGATACATCTCAGTTCCAATACTTTTAAACTTTCCCCACTGTTGGCGTAATTCAGTACAACTCAATTCCTCCAAACTGTCAATTGAAGTTCTGTAAATATTATAAAGTACTTAATTACTATTAAGTATATCAAAGTTTAAATTCTTTTAAAAAAAAGAATACATTTTTTACTTACTTCTGTAACTTAAGCATAACGCCAACAACATGCTTACACTTCCCTGTGCCTGCTTTACATGAGCAGGAACCTGACACCTTCACATTACTTCATGAAGTTTTTGTTACTAAAACTTCATGAGGATGACCATTAATGTTGGAGGTTTGCAAACACAAAGCCATAATAACAAGTTTATTTTTGTTTGCTCTTTTATCCAACTCTATTATGTGGTTACATTTTAATATCTCTGACCCTCAACAAACGGACGTTTACCATCACATACAAGTCCATAATATCAATAATTTCAATTACAGACATATTTAATAATAAAATAACAACTAAATTACAGAAAATTTTAATAGTTTGTTAGAAGCTGTATAACTGACTTGGAGAGTGTTGACTACAACTGGTGACCATTACTCATTACGAGTATTACCTACATTTCATTATCAATTGTGATAAGAGAAGAGCGCTCTCTATATTGCTTGAATCGCATAATAATATCGCGTTATTATTATTGCGTGTGGAAATAATTTCACGTATCGCGTATATACGGTGCATCGTATATTTAATTGCCCATAGAGGTCAAGACTGAAGACTGCATCAGCATCCGAGTTGTATATAATATATGTATATATATTTCGTGGACGGGATCGGTGCAGCCCCGGCACGAAATTCGAGAGGGGTCGTGGAGAGACGCGCAAGGGATTAATATTATTATCGCCTATATAATACGTATGTGTGTGTCCGTATAATATATATAATATCGTCCGCGGATGCGAGTGGCGTTAATGAGTTATTACGGTCATCTCCTCGTCGCACATGATATTTAAACGAGCAAAGCGTCCGCAGTGTCAGCTGCTGGACGGACCGCGATATTGTGCATATAATCATTCAACTCGTATATATAATGTGTGTGATGATGTGATATATATGTATGAATATGATGATATTAAATGCAATATTTCAAAACTCGACCCTCGCTTTCCTAATTTAAAAGGATTTGTATACTGAAAATCGCAATTCGGTACACTGCAGTCGTCCTACGATATTAATATAAAATATACATATAATATGTAGCCGCATTGCGTGTACATGATTTCGACGACAAAATGTTTGACCATTTAATGGTCTCGAACGGGCGTTACCTGCATATCATATTCAGTAATGTAAATATAAATTATACATCATAATATTATATTATCTCTTTCGACTTGTTACGAGATGAATTACATATTACAGTTACTACGTCGACTATCCGTATTGGATTGTTGTATGTGTATGCCTACTACGACAAATGTGTGATGCAGTGATTTAAACGCCTCGCCGGCTAACGATATATCATCTTTTGCAGTGATATTTCGTTAACGTTCATTTTTACGACTTGCACGAACAAAAAGCCCAAATTGGTTCACGTGACCTATACCAATATCATATTATATAACGCGTGTAGTATAAATTAATATAGTATAATTAATTATATTATAAATTATAATGTTTTCAGTGTATTTGTCTACGGGTTATGCAGTGCTCCAGTCCGATCCATATTAGTATAACAATGTCGAGATAGCCATTTATGAGTGGTAGATACTCGCGTATTTGCCGGAGTAAATATACGCGTTTTTATGATAAATGTATATGCCTCTACTTTTTATTCCGCGTAGAAAATGTTAAATTGTAATATAATTATAACTGCAAACGCGATGTTGTTATTGACCGTGACCTACGCGCGTGTTGTACGCGAAGCGACTACACTGCGGTGCCAAGAGTTTAGGTAATTATGTACTGCAGCAGTGAATGAAATAAAAGCGTGTTTCATATATAGATATTGGGTTCGTAAAACGAAAAAAAGGCAATAACGTCTCTGTTTTTGTTTGTGTTTTAAATAAATTGCGATTCTGTCTATCGTAATGGTCAAGTTTCTATAACTGTATAGTGTGTATATTGTATATTATAAATATATTCATAATATATATATATATATATATTATAACACGTGTAGTTGTTATATGAGATCGAAACACACGGATTGGAAAGTGCTCGTCAGCATTTTTTTAAATTTTTTATAACAATAATACAGTATTATTAACTACTGCACAATATTGTATTCCATAAGAATTACGATATATCTGTGTCGAACTCCGTGTTAACAAAACCCGTCGCTTTCACTAATAATAATGCGTACACGTAAACTGTTTATACGACTGACATCCCTTATACTACACTTATGTTACACAGTAGTCCTGTTATTAACGCGACCGATTCACCCGAGGCAAGCGCATCGGTTGCGTATATTTATGAGGGGATTCAATCCTCACGATTTTCGCCCTTTCGGAGAGTTTCTTGTACACCTACCTACGATTTAGTTATTGTATTATAAAAATGTTTAAGCTTGCTAAATTGAATTAAAATATTTTCCCTTGGAGGAATAAAATTCATAATACGCATTTTACATACACGAATTTTCATTTATCATACCCTCTACGAAATTGTTCAACTGCAAACAAACAATTATTATAATAACAGTAGTAAAACAAAGTTATTAGGTAACATATCCTACTTTGATACCTAGATGCAAAATGATTAACATTCACAAATTTTAAATCAGAAAGTCCCTGTTTTGCTAACCTGCAATCTTTTCCGAAATTTTTGGGTTCTTGAATTGGGAATTTATAACATCTACTGCCTGATCCTTATTATAATATAATAAAATACACATAGGTATAATTATATAGTTTTATAAATTAATGATAATTATTAATTATCATTATGTCTTCTACAGAACATTATTAAAGCGTATTGATCGTTTGTGTATATTATACAGGAAGATTTTATACGCGCGAACCTACTGCTGTATAACATTTTTAATCAATAAAATTTCCTTAAATATTTAAGTTGGGTACTAACGTAATAATAAATTACTCGAATTTCCTAAGATATTGCCTGGTAACTATGTAAAAGAGTAAACCTATAGTATGATAAAAGTTGAAGAACTATATTCAACCACCGAGCGCGGGTTGTCTTTTGCAGTCGGCGATTCAGGATAGAGAAAACGATGTCAGACGTCGGTGGAGGTGCAGGATAGTGAGTAGGCGTACTATAGTACCTATGCACATGCATAATATATCGTCGATGAGTGAAAAACCAGCCGCACGTGCGCCCCCGAGGAGGAAATACTAGTTAAGTACGAAATAAAGGTTGGCTGTCGAGCTGCAAGAGTATAATATTCGCGGTGCTCAGCGCAAACACAAAAAGGCCGCCGTTGCGTGCGTTACATATATATACCTACAGTGTATAACTCGATGTGATATATAATATATGTACACAACGCAATTATTCACAAGTTGGTTTTTGATAAAACAGCAATAACGTTGCAGCAGTGCCTTCGGCTGAGTTGGGACCGAATCCCTTAGACCGGGGGATGGTACTGGCGGGGCGTAGAAGAAGGCCCGGCCGACGAGGCGCAAGCGCCGGAAAGTAGATTTAATATTAAATTATATAAAACCTCGCGGACAGAGGTCGTTTAAAAATTCATCGGCTACCACCAAACAGCCGCGGGATGATCGTCCGCCGTGGCAGCATTATTATGTTTATAAATGTAAGCCCAGCCCCGTTGCCTTCTCTTTTGCCAAAGTTCCAGTGCGCACATAAAAAAAAATATATATATTTATATATAAACTGTATGTGCGTAGGTATATAATACAAGATTTTGGTATATTTATGATTTGGAGTGTACCTACAAGGAGCGGCGGTGGGCATTTTTGCTTCCTCAAAGGTCAGACAGACTCGTCGGGTGGCATGACGACGTTTTTGTTTCTTTCGACGTTTTGTTATTTTTTTTTTTATTCATGGTACAGCATCAACTGCTAAGGTTATTAGCTTGCAACAAAAATTGGTAATTAGTACATAATAGAGTATAGTTATACAATAAATTCTTAAATTAAATTATACATATCGATTTGTTTTAAAATTATGATTATTTTGTTGGTGTTGTCTGGTTGTCATGGATAGGGTCATGGATAGAGGCTGTTTTGTTATTTTGTAATTCTATGAAACAATATTATATACCATATAGATACGACACGACACTGCACGAGTAAGGTGTATCCTCTATACCGGGACTGTCCAAAATTTCTTGTGCTTATTTTATCACATTATCTTGGTATACAGATTTAGAACCGGGTTCTCAGGTTATCCAGTGTAACTTTTCATATTTTAAACATTTTATCAGTATATTAATATCCATTTGACCACTGTAACCAGGCGGCTGACAATAGTAAAATATATTTCAACTTTTCGGGATAACACCCGGTAACATGGTGTATTAAAAAGATAACCAAAGTAGCATTAAGCAAATTAAAGAACTGGATATTTAATACTACGTGATAAATTATGGATGACGAAGTAATGTGTAAAGGCTGCTTCTTAAGTACTATGATATTATATTCTTTCGGACAACGTCTGTTGTACCCGCGGGGCGCCAACAACGTTATTATTATATGGTACGTAAATGTTTTATAGAAGACGATAATATTATTTTCATGTAATTGCATAATAAAAATTATTATTATTATTATTCACGCGAAAAATATTCCGATCCTGCGTACATAATATGTATATTTTATTATTACTATTATAATATGAGATTCATGTGTGTGCGTGTATGCGTATGGATCGCGTTGGACATCTGCTGCCGGGCGGCCACTGAATATAATAATATAGATGTTTCCTATTGTGTTTGACATTCGGGCGAGAAACGATGACGATGACGAAGGCGGCGAGGTGTCAATGGGACGCGCATTATGTTTTCGCCCCGATATATACAATTATAATAATATATAGTAGTGGTTATAATAATAATAATAATATCGTACAGTGGTGTACTTGCATGACGTGTAACGTACGTGTATATATTATAATATTTAGCTGTACGAGTCAACGTTTTTTTATGTTTTTTTTTGCAAAATGAATTTATATTTTTTACAACCCCCCCCCCCCCCCCCCCACACCTATAATTCCGCGCTCGCATCGATCAAGTCCGTGAGTGAATGAAGTATTAATTGCGTGCGAAAATATAGATGTAAAAAACGCGACCAATATGCAAATATTATTGCGAATTTTTAACGCGCCGCCGTTTTGACTGATCACTTGAAACGCTACAGAACTCGCCCCGCCCCATCCGTGCTTGTGTGCGTGTGATACACACACAATATATAACTATACACATATTATAATATGCATTATATAACGTGTAGTGTATAAAATTATGTATTATGCAAAAGCCGTACGAATATTTATACGATTAGAAAGCGTTATCAGTGGGTGCGATTATTATTATTTCATGTAATTTCGCGGGCGCCCAAGTGGCCACTCGTACACCGTACTTACTACTTAGTATAATACGCGTACATAATTGACGTCTGAACACCGAACGGGGATTATAATAAATAATAATAATATATTATAATGGAGCTGAATATTCATTATACCCAGGATATGATTTGATTTTCAAAACGACGCCCATTAAAAACGGAAAACACCTATTTAAATCATTATTAATCATCTCTCAAATATTAAATAAACTCTGGTTGTAGTTGGAGGAACTGGTGTTTATTTTTTTTTTTTTACACCGTACCGCATTAGGAAAACCATATTAAAAATTGTATAATTAAACTAAATGTATTAATCATAATGCGTTTTGTAAACGATCGAATTATAGTTTTTAACTGATGAAAATAGACTATGGTTTATAGAACAAACAGTGAACGATTTTTACTGACTCTGTTGCGTTTATCATTCAAATGTTAGCTACTGCTTATGTCTCGTCTCAATTTCAGAAACGATTTTTTTTAATGTAATTTTTAAACCGTGCTATAAATCAAGACCATAATTGTACGTGTTGCAATCGCGCTGTGTGTTATGAAATTCGTTTTTGAAATGTGTATTCGTAAAATGACAACATGTAAATCGCGGAAAAATAATATAAATAATGTAAATTCATTGTACGCGGACGAATAATAATACTAATATAACAAAAAGAAATAATAACAAATACAGCGCCCGAATGTATTCTGTTGCGACCTCTAGTCGTTAATCCGTGTTTAGTGGTTGCCGCTTCGAGCGCCTTAGTTTCCAAACTATAATACAAATTGAACCTTCCCCCGCCGCTTGCGAACAATAACAATAATTCGAGTTTCGACTTTTATCGTCTCGGCTCGTGATGCTAATTGCAAAGTGTACGCCGAAAAAAGGTCCTCTAAATGTGTCACGTTTAATTAATAAGGACTCCCTCGTCCGGGTCACACAAACACACACACACACACACTCGTATATACACTATAATATATATATAAACATATATCCGGGGATCTTTTTCGCAGCAACCATCAATTAACACCCGCAAAGGGTTCATCTTTTTCTTGGGTGAAGGGTGCACTGCGAAACGTCGCTAGTGGTTTCTCCTTTATATACGATTCTTTTCAGACCCCGGACCCGCTGATGGTGATTTATGTCTGGACGTGAATAAGAGTAGAGGATAGACAGGGCGCGCGCGAAGACCTAACGACCGCCGATTTCGTATACACATTTAATGGCCAAGTTGTCCTAAAGCTCGCGTAATTAATTACGATCTCTGCGGCTTTGGTGGGAGGAGGAGAGCAAGCGAGACGCCACATAAACCGACCCTCTACGCCCTGACACTTTCCCACTCATCTGACGCTCCTCGCAAGTTGTACTGCAAATAATAATACGGTTTACGATTTTTTTTCTGTTCACAGGTTCGCATCGCTGGGTACTCTGGATATTTGGACGGGACGATTGAAATCTGTAATTGGCTAAAATTCATTAGATCCACGAACGACTGTAGTAGACAAAACGTCCGAGCGTTCTTGTTGGCCGGACAGGTAAATAATCTCGTTAAAGATAATATTATATTCGTCTCTGCTGCAATGTTGAAATGTTTCGTATGACTTTTATTTTTTAATACCTATTTTGTTTGTTTAATAGATATTTTACGAATTGACACAAACAGTCAAAGCTTCAGAAGAACTATTGTTGGGCAAGAGAGAGCCGCTTAATTTAGACGCGGCATTTGGAGAATTAATGACCACGTCTGCAGAGGATCGGAGTGAAAGAGATTCGGGTGAGTGGTGGTTCACCTATATACCGAATATTAGATAATTATTATTAGTTTGGTATCTATTTTAATTTTTGATCCATTGGGATACATAATTATAAACTTTTCAAGCTGAACCTAAACTCGTTTTCAGTTCATGTTTCCAACTTTTCATCGAACATCAGTTAAAATATTCCTTTCAAATGTTTACAAAATATAATATAATATAATATTATAATGCATCCCAATATAATATTCTCCCAGTACTTTTTTTCCGCACGTCAAACCCCATTATTGTAGACGTTCCCGCGAACGCCTCAATTAAAACGTCACTAATAATAGTATAATAATAATATTTTATGACAATGAGCGTGTATAATATCTGCAGTGCTAGTGCAATGTGATTAGAATCGAGTTCGTGTATAATAATACAGTCGCAGATCCATTTAGAATTGGTCGGCACCACCAAAACCCCATCGCACCCTTTCGCACGCACGTCTTTTAATCTCGACGTTAAGCTCGTTATTCTGTGTATTGTCTATCTATATTCTATGTTATTATATGCACGGCGGCCAGCAAATCCCGACAATAGCCGTCGCCGGAGAATTAATTCACAATTAATCGTATACAATATGATATTATATATACCACCGTACGCTCGACGTCGTCTCGTCACGGTCACATTTTTCGCGCGCGACACAATGATTTCATTTTATGATCATTTTTTTTTTATCGCCGTCGTTTACGGTCGGCCGGCGGGGAGATCACCGCAATAATATTATATACATAATGTATAAAAACAACTTTATTATAACGGGGGCAGACTGAAAAAAAATCGGAATTTGCGCACACACCTCCTCGCCGAAAACAACGGCCAGGGGTGTTGATCTCTCTCTCTCTCTCTCTCTCTGAACACGTCCAAAGTCCCCGCCGACGACTGATAATAGAGCTGTTCAAACACACACACACACATGCACGTGACACAATCGTCGTGATGTATTCGTTGCCGATACATATATTATATACACAGTAAAAAGGGGTATATGGTGCAGCGTCTGTGTGCGCGCGGACTTACAACACCCCCTCGTCTCCCCGCCTCGCCATCAACATGTGGATAGGTTGGGCGGCGGGGCACCGTTAATGATCTGTACGCATGTCCGTTGTATTGTACGGTATTTGTCATTTCGCGTCCGTCGCCGCTTTATTACACGCACACGTATAATACGTATGTATCGCCGAACCCCTCCGCCGAACGCCGCCGCGTATTAGGGTCGTTTCTATTCATTATTATATGAATCATATTTCTGGGCGGTTTATATCATAACTCACCTTCGTTCTCTCTTTATTCCTGCGTGTGGGTATATATATATGCATTATTTTTTTTTTGCACCCCGTCCGCACACACGGCGGAGAACAATATAATATATACGCGGAACCCACTGTGAAACCGACGCTCTCTGGCGCGCGCGACAAACGTCGCTAGATTATCTGTGTGTTTATAATATGCACATACACACATGTATATAGCTTTAATCGCGTCCGACATAATAATAATAGAGATGTCGACGGCGGCGGTGGCGGTGGCGGTGGCGACGAGGGGCACGGAAAACAACCGGGGAACGAGCATAAAAGAAAATTAGGGTAGATAATTTGTCTTCCGCCTGTACGAGTAATAAAGACCTAATAGCTTTGAATTGATTAAATGGGATTTTTTTTCGCCCCGTACCACAAAACCCAATCCGTGTAACGTGGTGCACACACACACACACACACACACACACACACACATACATGACTACACGGGCGTATAGTATAATACGGTCTATTATATACTATGTTATATTATTATATTATAAGCCGAGCAAACAAGACTGATTTGAGGCGTATATGTCGTATAGCGAAACGAGACTTAAATTTCCCGAAAAATGGCGAACGTTACTATCATAATATTAGTATCCGTACTCATTCGGTCGATCTACGTAACATCCCGGCTGAACGATTCGATAGCACCGCAATAAGACATCGTTGCAGTGGATTCCGAACCAGCGACGGGTGTCTCATTGGTTGACATTTATATTATTTTATTACAATATAATACTGTATTCTATTCACGAGACCTATCAGGTTCGCGTTCATTTTACTCCTTAATTCGGGTTCATCATTGAGGTAACGTCTGAACGTTGCACTTTCTGCTCCCGGCGTCAATCACCGAAGAATTAAACAAATTTATGAAGTAAAATTAGAAGTCATCATTTTTTTAAATGGTCTAGGACTAACTAATGATAATGATTAATGACAATGACTCAAATGATTAAGTTGATACCTAAATTGTATTAGTGATTGAAATTTGAGGAATTTTTAATGTCGATATATTTTTAAATTTACAAAAATACGATTTGCTTTAATACTGTGATGACTATAATGATAAATGAGTAATGAACATGAAACTATATAATGCTTTTATGCTAATAATCGTATCAAAACACGAAGAGTAAAAACAAATTTGAACCATTTTATTGAACTTTTAATTAGAAATAATTTGATTGACTATTACCTGTGTTTTTAGATCTGAGTGATATAATATGTTTTTAAATGAGTGCAGAATTCGACCATCCAGCTCCACGACTGTTATCAGTCGGTATTCGCGTTTTTTTTTAATTTTAATACATTTTAATCAAATGTATTTTGTTATTACAGCGTGTTCAGCAACAATATCGTTACGACGAACAGCTGTTCTGACACGTTCTTCGTACGTACTACGTATTGACGGCTCGAAACCGCAATAAAATCCTAAGTCTAGATATTTATTAAATAATATATATGCTTCGAAGTATTGTGTACCAATCGAGATCGTTCTCGGTACGCTATTAACTCGACAACAAGAGCTCGAATTACACTGAACAGTGTGCGTTTTCCATTTATTTCCACTCCTTGTATTTTATATATTAGAATTTAAAATAATATATCTTATGAAAACGTATATCGGACGATAAAAAGGATTTTTTTTTGTTCAGAACATAATAACAAAAATATAATATACTATTGCGTTTCACAATATTATAATACAATAATTATTGCGGTCTGACGGCTATATATATTATTATTTATTTACGTCTCATCGGTGCGTAGGCGCATGACGCTAACACCGTTTTACTGCATTGGCAACAATTTTATTGTAATATTATTATTGTTACCACGGTCGGTGTGCAGTGAGTCACGTTTTCTGAAAACAATATTATACTGTAACAACATCTTCGTCTTACGATCTCTTACGAAAAACTCGAAAAATTGGCAAGCACGCGCCCAAAAAAAGCGATCGTAAACACATCACGGCCAAACGCCACAGCAGCCGCCGTCGTCGTCGTCGTGGCCTCCTCGAGATAAATACTGCTACAGCGGGGGCGTAGTCAAGCCGAATAAAAACAACCAAGAGGGTGTTTTTAATTAGCGATTACTATTCGCGGGCGCGCGAGTCCCGGAGAAGACCGTTAGCTACATCTGATGCAAATATTAATTAAAACAATTTCTCGGCTCCGTCGTGTCAGTCACGGTATTATCGTTATCACGAATTCACGGCTGTGGGGAGGGGTAGGTGCTTGGAGGTCGTAAAAATTAGCACTTGATGCTGTTCGCGCGATGTCGTGGCGGGTCACAGTCGCCTCTCTGCGCCGAATAGTAAAACTCGGAGAGGATATAAAATATAAAATTATATAATATATAAGGCGAGAGACTTCGAGATAATAAACGCCCGGCGGGTTTAAAACAGACGCCGAGCTTCGAAGTATAGTACGTATTATGTAGTATAATAATTATATTATATAGTGTATCCGCCTACGCCGCCCCGCGCGGCAGCATGTCTCTATATGATTGTTATTATTATTATGATATGAGCCGTTTGGTTTTTGTTTGTCGCCAGTTGGTGGATTTTTTTTTCCAAACCTCATTTCATATAGGTATAGAGCGATTAACGTTTGATTAAAATCTTTTTTTTTTTTACGGTCGACACGAGCCGACTTCACGATGTCACGCGATTACCCTAACCGGTTCGTACCTATAATACGTGTACGTGCCGCGTGCGCGCAGATGTTATGTGCTGGATTTGACTTGCCATAGGTCACGCGAGATTTTTCGGATCAAATCGAATCGCAGGGGTCGGCGGCTCACGTGTCCCGTAAAAATAAAACGCTATCGTCGGGCACGGCCAAACGACGATCGCCGCCGCCGTCTAATCACTGCGACTGTATGTAGTGTATACCTAGTACGTAATATAGGTGCCTCTCTACCCCTAGACATTTTCGGGGCGCTGAATAAAACAAAAACAAACCCCTCGATGGTCACACTATACATACTAATATATGAGCTATAAGGAGCTATAATAATATACAAGTCGTATGTAGGACCGCCACCGATATGTGCGTCCTCGACCGAAACAATTCAATAATCATCGTGCGTATATGCGCCGTATAATACTCGGTATCGCCGGACCGGATGAACAATGTAGTGTACTTGGCTGTGCAGCGAAATCTCCCGAATTCATTATCCCGCGGATCGATCGGGCGCCCCCTTTTTGTTTTTTAACGGTTTTCACATGACCGGAAGAGATTCAAACTCCCACTTCCTGGTGCAAGTCGCAGACACCTGGCCCACGTCGTCCCCCTTTCCCCCCCTGGACAATCAGTGTGACTTAACCCCTATTACGCGTCATTATTCTTATATTTTTCATATTTTATTTTTCCCGTTCCGAGTACCTACGCCGTTGCCCGTCGTCGTCATGGACACGTTTTATATCACATAATATAATATTTATTTTATTATTGTTTGACGTGCTCGTGTATTGTTATTGCACGGTAGTGTATTATATTCGGTGGAGGTACCGTCGCCGGAACTGTGTAGCTTGCACTTTCGCAACGTTGTCGTGTGTGGGTCAGAAAATACGGTTGGAAAAAAATTCTCCTGCGCCTCGTCGTCGTTGAATTAACTTTGTTTTAGTCCGTTTCGCAACGCTGCGCCCGTTATACACAATATAATATATTATACGTTCGTATATCCATCTGTATAATGATAATATGAGGTCCGTCTCCCGCAGTCACCCATCGTGCATGCATATAGTTGTTATTCCGGCTCACATTATATTATAATAAGTTCGCGTCTGGTGTTTGTCTTGCATCAGCGAATTCGTTTCGATAGCGGGGGGGAGTGGGGAACAAGGCGAATAACTCGTGTGCTTGGTCCACCGCAGTGTGTCGTCCGCGTTTCTCACGCAAATCATCGGAGTCTGTCCGTGTACGCATAACAAAGAACTGCTCCGTACAGTGGTTACGTGTAGGTACCTAAATATGACTACGGTGCAATTAGCCCATCTGTGCGATCCGTTAAAGACTTGTACGGCGGAAACACGCAGGATGCAGGTGTGACTTACTGGCGCTTGAGCAGTGTATGATATACAATAATATAACTGGTGTATATATTTTATGATATTATACATAATTTGTCCTACAAAAATAGGTTAGGTGTACTTGGCAGTTATATATATATAATATAATAATATCCTCCCGTCGGAGCTTTTGACTTAGCAGAATGCGATTAGCGGGTGTGTGTTTTTTTAACGTGACATAAAAGTGTGCGCGAGGGTCCCCGAAGAGAAGGGGTGTTGCATGCCGTGTGAACTCGAACGAAAACCGAGTATTAGTGGGCGGATATTCGATTACACGCGTCAAACGTCCCCTTATATCGCGTCCTGACGCACACAGCAGTCTTAATAGTTTCTATGAACAATATGCCTTTTGATTTTTTTATATTTTTTTTTATTCCTCGCTCGATGGGTCGCTCCGTTTTATATTTATTGCAGTAATTTTGTTTTTTATTTAACGCGTTCGAGTTTATAAACTGTCATTCGTAGGGCGTAGGTGACGTCGTGACGATAATATTAATTCGGTCTTCGACCACCGGCGACTGCGGTTTATCGTACGACAGGGGTGCGTTTGCAGAGCATAATATGCTAAAGTATATTATACTTTTTATCACCGGGATGCGGATCCTGGGTCTATTGGTCACGTTTTCGGTTATACGTATACTGCAGTTTCACGTGTAATAATAATATACACGATAATAACAGGTGTGGCCAAACGTCAGTTGAAAATCCCAATCGCACCTGACGCATCGGTTCCAATGATATAGCGCAATTCGAGAACCCCCTCGCTCAACCACCCCGTTAACCCCGCGTAAGCTTACGGCCGTGAATTAATTATGCCATCAGGTACACACTCACCCACACGCACGCACAAACAACGGTGCAGTGCTAATACACGTCACTGTGTTTGGTTTCCGTTCCGGAAGGTAGCTTTCATCCCTCGAATTAAAAGCGGGCGCTCGGAGTGTCCTGCAGATAGCCAATAGGACACCAGGAGGTATAATAATATATGTAAACACACACGCAAACGATACAATAGTACCTACCTATACCGTCTACCAAGCCGCTGTCGGTATAATTTTTTTCACCTCAATCACGCGGCGACAACCCGAGTGTATGTACGCTCCTCATACTCGTATTATATATATAGAGTATTATGAGGTCATCCCTGCACTCTGACCGCCGTAGTAATTTCTAAACAACCCATCATTATACACCGATCGTCAATATCTTACTGATCGTGCGTTTTGGTCGTTGTGTTTTTATTTAGTCGTCGCGTCACAGAACTCACTGGGATCGATCGACGGCGACGGAGACGTGGACGTGGACGCCGAGGAGCCGGACGAAGACGACCAAAATCGGTGCATCTTGTGCGAGAAGTGTTTTCCCGACATCGAACAGTAAGTCAAGAGCGTATTATAAAATATATTAAATACAGCCTCGGTATACATTTACTATATTTTACCTATTTCGTTTAATGATAAAATAAATGTGCACATCACTACGTTTTTATATACTATATGTAATATATTTTATACTTTATATCGTCCCTCGATTTCCCGCAGTTCGCTATACCAGTGTATAGTGTGTATTATTATTAAGTACGATATATCTAGTCCGCGCAGACAACAAGCAAGTTTAGCGACTAGGAGGGTGTGAACGCCTAAGTGCTTAAACGTGTAACTGCGGTCACGGTCCGGAGACCGCCCGTCGGTCCGGCACTTCATTTTTCAAGACGCCCTCTTTTTTTCTCTTCTTTTCCGCTCTCGTCCGAGAATCATTGGTCGCGACGATGACGTCGTTCCCCTACCCCTAACCGCCGACCGACCGTCCGACCGTCCGAAGACGTGACCGATAATAGCGGGGCGATATAAGACATTATATATATAAATATCGATTTTCGTATATTTTATAAACGCCGCTCGTCCTCCAAACTTTTCGTAGAGATTTTTCGAGGGGGAGGTGTAAAAGAAATGCGTGTGCATATCATATAACGCATTTAACGGCTTTTCGACACGATAGTATTCGAGCGGTGTCGCCGTTGTAATAATAATAATAATAATAATAATCGACTGTCATACAATATTATATCATAATTCATAATGACATAGTATCAAGAGGACGAGTGCAAAGTCAAGTACTCAAGTCTAAGAGCTTGGCGTTCGACGTCCCCGTGACATATCGTCGTATGCATTATCCTAATAATACCGAGTGATCCGTTTTACGTAAAATACTCGTTATTTTGAAAACTCTTTTAAAAATTAATTTTGTACTATTTTTATCGTTATAATTTTCAAAAATTGCAAAATTGACAACATGCGTTTTTAATTTCTTACTCCAAAGCTGAATGTTTTCTAGTAGGTACTTTTATAGTTTTATGTATAAATTAAAAATATGTATTGTCAAAAGAGTAAAAACTTAAAAACGATAAGTTGATTACAATAATTGAAATCAATTGTGCAAAATATTTTTTTTTCCACTCTTGTTGTTTTGTAAAGACTTACAATATTATATTAAAAACAAATATTTTTAAAAATGTTAGTGGTTTTTGTAGTAACGAGTGTCTTGCATTAAGCGGATCACTCCGTGCCTAACTATATGTTGCCAAACTTCGAACGATGCTGATCTACAGCCAAAGTTTCTCTTTATTCGCAGGCTCGATGATCACCTGGTGTCTGGACACCACTACAAGGCCAGTCAGTACGGGTGTGAGCTGTGCCCACAGTCTTACAGCTGGAAGCCGTGCCTGATCCGGCACCTAGCTTTGGCCCACAGCCGAAAGTTCACGTGCGAGACCTGTTCCAAGGTGTTCAGCGACCCGAGCAACCTGCAGAGGCACATCCGGACCAATCACGCGGGTGCCCGGTCTCACGCCTGTTCCGAGTGCGGCAAAACGTTCGCCACGTCCAGCGGGCTCAAGCAGCACACGCACATACACTCCAGCGTCAAGCCGTTCCAGTGCGAAGTCTGTTTCAAGGTGCGTACCTGTACATTATTACAATATCAAAGTTCTGTTCTTTCCCGATTCGTCGCTAATGTAGCTCACCGTCAATTAATACACAATATTACTATTGTGCCAGGCGTGCATTATTGTGCGCGTCTTATCGCGCGGCTGTGTTCGCGCTCGCTGCATTAGGTAAAGCGTGCAGTGCATGTACAGTTATTTAATCAATCGGTTCCCGTTGTGTCGCCGATGACGACGACGACGACGGCGACGGTAACGTGTGCGCAGTATTATCCCGTCCGTTTCCTCAATGATAGCCCGCGTAGATGCCGTCGCAATCGGCTCGGTTGTTGTACCGGTCACGTATATTGCCGCGACTGCATGAGAGGTCCGCGCGATAGGCGCGCGTGTGTTATCGGTGGCAATACGTGCGCGATGCGTACGACAAGGATGCCTTATTGTCTCAGTCGACGGCCACCGATTTCTACACAGTTGCCCGATAACGAAATAATATAATAATGATTAATATACGGGACGAGAACAAAAAAATAATAAAAATATAATTATACAACAACGCGACACCGCAGTCTGGTAGCGATCTCCGCGCGCGCGCTCTCGTTTTTTCACACGTCTCCCGCAGTGGACGACAATCGCCGTCTTTTGTGCAGCTTTTCCTCTGTTACCTTGTTAATAATAATTTACTACATAATATATCCACAATCTAACGCACCATCTGTCGCTGCTTGTTCTGTTCGCAGGCGTACACTCAGTTCTCAAACCTCTGCCGGCATAAGAGGATGCACGCCGACTGCCGCATGCAAGTAAAGTGTGACCGGTGTGACCAGTCGTTCAGCACGGGCACGTCGCTGTCCAAACACAAGCGGTTCTGCGAGTCGAACCCGTCGCCGTCGCCATCGTCGCTCGCGACGTCTGGCATGGCTACCGGTGGCGGAGTGTCATCGTTACAGCAACAACCCGGGGCCGCGGCCACCGCCGGGTCTTCGCCGTTCGCCGTCTACCCGCGGTTCCCGCTGTACCCGCCGCACCCGCTCGTCCACCCGTTCTACTTCCCGCTGGCAAACGGATCCCTGCCACCGCCGCTGTTCCCATCGCCGTTCGGTCAGTTTGCGCCCAAGCTGAACATGGACATGCTGTCGCTGTCCAGTGCCGTTGAGATGTGCAACAACCGTTTCAAGAGGTCTGCAGGCGAATCCGAACACAACGAAACGCCCGCTAAGCGGTCATCGTCGTCGTCGTCGTTCAACGCCGGCCAGAAGACTCCGCCGCCGCAGCCGCCGACATCGTCCGGCGTGGCTATGCTGATGGGTTCGAGCAAGACGTCGCCGCTAGTCGGCGAAGAGGCGTCATCCAACCAGCGACCATCGCCGGCCCGCCCCAGCGCCACGTACCCTGACCCCAAGGTGCACGTCAAGCGGCAGCCGTCCGGGGACGAGGACTGCGGACCGTGTGACCTGTCCGTTAACACTGACATTCTGTGCAACGGTGGTGGTTCAGCGGACGAGTTGACAACGGACGACAGTGCTGGCGGACGTCGGTCGTCAGACGATGATGGTTCGCCGTGCCGATCAGCGGACCAGCCGCTGGACCTGTCGGTAACGAAAGTGCAGCGCCGGCGAAAAAAGTCTCCGACGGCCGTCCGCGCACGACCGCTGGACGACATCTCGCGCGCCGAAAATGCCGCTGTGCGACCAGAGCAGCGCGGCCCTAAGTGGTCGTCGCCGTCTTTGACACCGCCTCCACCCCCACCACCACCACCGCCGCCGCCTCAGAGACCGTCGTCATCGTCGCCGTACTCGGTCAGCAACCTGATGGCCTACCCCAAACCGCTGTACTTGGACTCGATGTATCCAGCTACGTTGTCCGGGTTCGCAGAGAGCCAACTGCAGCACATGCAGGGGCATCAGCCTTTCGGGCCGTCTGCCACCAGGGCGTTTCCGTTCATGTCCAACTCGTCTCCGGCCATCGAACACTTTCTCCGGCAGCCGATGCCCAACTACTCGAAATCGTACCAAGACATCATCCAGCAGCATCAGAACCATCACGGACAGCACCAGAACCAGCACGGACAGCATCAGAACCAGCACCAACAGCAGCAGCAGCACCAACAGCAGCAGCAGCACGTCAAGTCCAAGGACAGGTACGCTTGTAAGTACTGCGGCAAGGTGTTCCCGCGTAGCGCCAACCTGACCAGGCACGTGCGAACGCACACGGGCGAACAGCCGTACCGGTGCGCGCACTGCGAACGGTCGTTCAGCATATCGTCCAACCTACAGCGGCACGTGCGCAACATCCACCGGCAGGAGCGCAATTTCAAGTGCAATCTGTGCAACCGGCGGTTCTCGCAGCAAACCAATCTGGACCGGCACGTCAAGAAGCACGAGGCGGATGACGGTACGGCCGTCGGCACCGTTACCAGCAGTTCGGCGAGCAGCGTGGACGAGAAGGAGGACCCCAGGCTGTTCGAGATCCGGAGCTTCATGAAGAAGGTGAGTGATCACGGGTCTGCGGCCGCAGCCGCCGCCGCTGCCGCTGCCGAGATGCAGAACAACAACATGGTGGTGGACCCTTGCGGTCTGCAACAACCCGACGACGGTCTTCAGTACGCGGCCCACTTATGACCCGTGGCTCCGCCGCTCTACTTGAATTGGGCCCGTTGACCGGCCGGCCACTCCGCGATGCGATATCTTTTCGACGTCGTCGTCGTCATGGCATAAAAAAACATCATTGTAATATTATATATGTCATATCGTCACAAATCTCCGAGTACCTCCACACGCATATTATATTATACATATTATTATTATTATTATTATTATTATATTATATAATATATTATAGGTCCTATCCTCTGTCGTTCGTTTCTTCTCTTATATTTGTTTATATTTATTTATTTATTTATTTATTTCGTCGTCGCAAGTCCGCCGTCGGCCACCGCTCGCTACAGAGAGTGTCGTCTCGGCGTTTTCCATTCGATTCACCCATCACACGGGTACTTATGATAATAATATGTAATGATCAATTATATTATACGTCACCTACTATCGCGTCCATATGGCAAAATATATTATAATGTCTGAGATTATATTATTATTATGTTCTCTCTTACCCCAAGATAATAATATTATATTATGTAGGTACAATATTATTATTATCATTATACCATAATATTTTGATTTCCGTGATACGATTGTCGCTGTTTCCTGCTGCTCCTGCTACAGACTATATAATATTATATTATTATACGTATATTTAAAAATTATAAATATAATTATTATTATTATTATTGTATTGATATTATTATTATTACGCTCGCACCAAAGTAGACATTATGATATTATTATTAATGTATACAAATTTTTAGAAGATTTACATAGCAAGGATTTTTTATTTTTTACTTCTCTATATACGACAATATAATATGTAAAATTATACGTTGTACTTTTATTTTAGTTTGTAACATTGTAAAATTTAACTCAATTATTATAATCTTGTGATAAAAATTCCTAGGTTTTCATTAATTTTAGTGTATACGTACCAGTGTAAATTTGTTTTGTTATATTATTATTATTATTATTATTATTATTATTATTTAACAATTAAGACCAAATATCACGTTATTTAGTCATCACAACAACTGTGTATAGCAATATATACTATTTGTCTACTTGTCATTTGATATTTTTTCCAAAGCTAAACTAGTGTTTATATATTATGTATTAAAATAATTATCATATTATTTAAGTATTATTTATATTTATATATGTGTAATGTATACAATTTTATTAAACTTTACCAAACGTACATTATTATTGTATAAGTTAAACGATCCCAAAAAATAAAATCCATTTTCGATAGTATACATAATAATATAATAATATATTATACCCACAATTCTGTTATAACTTAATACAATTATTATTAATCTATTTTAATTTATTAATAATACTTTTATTTATTTTGCTAAAAATTAATGTTAAATTGAATTTATATATAAGAATGTTTTTTTTCGAAATAAATCAATATCATAATATTATCCTCAATAAAATTCCGAAATACTGTTTTTTTTTTATATATATATACCTAAAGCTAATTTGTGTTGATAAAAAAATACTTAGGATTACCGATTATGTCATATCTTGTTGTTCGCAAAAAAAACATATTTTATGATGTTAGCTTATCGACGTACGTTCTTAAATTTCTGTTGCCAAACCGTCTACAATAATGAGTAATGACATATACGCACTTATAATTAAAAACAAATGGTATTAAAAAAAAAAAAATTATTAGCGAAGATAGGACTCGTTAAAATACTATACACATCTAACCTCTTTAAAGAATAATGCAAACATTAAGTACCTAACCATTAACATATTATTACTGTCTTTCGATATTTATATTATTTATTACTGTTGTACTGATAAAATGACCTTTTCAAGACATTTAAATGAAACTTTTTTTTATCTTTTGACAATCTGTGATTAAATGTAACAAAGCAATTTATTTCAACTCCAAAAAGCTGAAATGATATAAAACAAACTTTACGAAAATCAAATAATATTATACGCTTTCGTTATATTATTTGTACACACAAATATCGAGTTGAACAAACTGCTGTAATGGTACAGCCTTATATTGCATAAGTAATTGTCTCACTAACGTAATTAAATAAAAAATACTTTAAATATATACATGTTATTTTATTTCAATGATAAAGCACGTATATTAATCGTAAATGACGTCGTAAGATAGGTACTGCTTATTTTTAATTACATCTAATTCTAAAAAATTGTTAATTTTCAGTAGGTACCTACCGACTGTTTTGTAAGGAAATAATTATTGTAATAACTATTAAGTAATGAAACGATTAACCGAAGTGTATCAGGTCTCTGGTGACTTGCTGCAATAAAGGGATTAATAATTTTGTACCGGTATACCCACAGCTGTGTATACCTAATCATTGAATAAGTACCAAATTATTTCGTGTCTATAAAATATAAATTTACCCAACCTATGTAAACATTTTACAATCGTTTGTGATTTAATTTTATTATAAAACAGCAGTAATATTACTTCAGACTGTAAATGATTGGGTGATTCAACATTTTTCATTTATACACGAACACTCAATGTACATCATTTTTGGGACTACGACAACGAGATTCGGTATAAGAATACGATTTGATCATAAAAAAATTAGGATTTAGACTGTTTATGACAAATCAAAATTTAATATGTAAAACAGGCGATTGGACGATTGACTAGTACCCTTATTTTTTTTTTTTTCCGGTAGCTATGTGTTCTGTGAATCGCACACAATATGTTATAATTATTATCCTTTGAAAACTTAAACGATAATTCATTTATTTTATTATGTCATAATTCATAATAGGTATATGAGCGTAATGATCATAATTGAATTTTGATTACCTATCATCGAAAAGAAGATTTTTTAAATTATTTCTTTTTTATAGAATAGCTTTTACGCAGTCGCCATTGATGAGGCTATTGCTGTATACTTACAAATTGTATATGTATTGCTATTAGTTACAACTTTTTAGTGAATATGTATTACATTTGATTATAAATACTAGTATTTAACTGAAATAAATTTGTAATTTTTACATTATAACTGCGAAAATTAATGTATTTTAAATTGAAGCAATAGTGAACTATGAGTAATACCATTGATTATAAATACTAGTAAATAAATATTAGTATTTATTCAATCAATTATTCTTATAAATAATTAGTTAAAATACTAGTATTTATAATCCTTGGTATTACTCATAGTTCACTATTGCTTAAATTTAAAATACACCAATTTTCGCAATTATAATGTAAAAATTACACATTTTTTTCAGTTAAATACTATTATTTATAATCAATTGTGATACATATTCACTAATAATTGATTGAATAAATACTAGTATTTATTTACTAGTATTTATAATCAATGGTATTACTCATATTTCACTATATCTATTTAAAACACGTTAATTTTTGCAATTATAATGTAAAAATTACAAATTTATTTCAGTATTACAATATACCTACGTATAACCTGCATATTATTGCATATTATATTCATCCTAAATAAATATGTATAGGTATAAAACCTATATAAGTACATTAAATTTTGCAATACGTATGTTATATTTAAATTTACAGTTATGCAATTTTATATTAATATTATGATTTCTTGTTATAGGTATGTGCATTTCAATTTTTTAGTTTATAAATATAAGAAGGTATCTTATTTCTGCAAACAATAACTAATTATTTATTTTAAAAGTGAAGAAGCACAATACAAAATAATGTGCTTGACTTTCGTGTGTTCTGTCTAAATTATAAACATTTAAACTGTATTGTCTAATCGAATAATTTGTATTGTTTAATTTGTATTATATGTTTTAAAATATTCTCACCAATTCATTGATGGGATAAAAATGTCTATAAAATATTATATACTATTAGATATAAATTATACAATTAATTTACTGTTATATTTTACAGCATATAGTTAATATAACTGCGCTATAAATTATAACATGATATCTGTAAAATATGTTATCTAGAATCTAGATAAAAACCACTTATCTGTTCTATGTATACATTTTAACACGACTATCTTTATCTCGAGTGGAACGATGAATGTATTGGTTTTACAATAATTTATGTGTTGTTTGTGTGCTTACTACCTTTTGGAGGAAACTATTTATATGACGAGAAAACTCAATCATTATTATATTGCCACCACTGAATTAGACACTATATATTATATTTTTGTAATTGTATACTATAATGATAACAGAAGGTTATTCTCACGACGGTGATGTACCCAAATTGCCTATTCAGAACGCCGAGTGTTCATCATTTTATTGTAGGAAAAAAATATCTAAACATTGTAATGTTAGCGTCGAGAGTGTATACAAAAATCAGAGATAAGTTGAAAACAATCAAAAAATACGGGACATATCTGGTTCGACTAAAAATGTTTGATAATGTTTATGATTATGTTATTGTTATAATCACAGTACGGTAACGTCTTGCATGCAACGAAGAAAATCAACCAGAACCCACGTTAATAAGGAGCGTTCAGTCCCGTATTTAGGGGGGGCAGGGTGGGTCATTGCCCCTCCTGGTGGAACTTGGGGGCGGTAAATTTTGATGAACTTTTTTTTATTACTAAGCCAATATAGTTATAACTTTGAAATTATGTAAAATGTTTTTTTCCTGATGTATTGTGATTTGGTGGAATTACAGTGCCGTAAAAACCGGGTGTGCAAAGTGTGCACCGCACACAGGCCTCGGGCCTCACAATATATCGAAGGGCCTCAAAAGGTCTAAAGACAAATATTAAACTAATATAAAATTATTAAAATATATAAATTATTTATTATTGATTTGGAAACGAAACCAATGTTATTTCATTTTTTTTTGTATAGCATGGAGTCGTGATCACTGTTTTTAGATTTTGAGCGGAACGAACAAATGTATTGATTTTACAAGATGTGTATAGTTTTTTTCATTTCTGTGGGTCATCAACATTGGGTAGTAAAAATATTCCGAATTTTGAGATCAGCATTTTTTCTGTTAGAAAAGTGAATCTAGTTGGTAC